TCCTGGACCTGGTGGCTTAAAACTCACGCCGGGCGTGTGCGCGTGTGTGCCCAAGATCCTGAGAGGAGAATGGAGGAGAAGGGATTGCAGCGTGACCATCCCCCCTGGGGGGTGATTTCTCGCTTTCTGTCTCTATGTCTCTGTCTGTCTGGCAAGCGCACGCGCCCTATAGCGAAAACCTCTCAAAAAAAAAAAACCATAGGGTCACTTTTAAAGACTTCTTTATTTTTCTTTTTTAAAATTTATTTATCCATGAGCAAGAGGAAGAGTGAGTGCAAGAAAGAGAAAGAACCATCGCTGGAGCCTTGATGACTGGATTCACTTACAGCCTCAGTCAGCCCTAGACTCAGACACACGTATGCCTGGTGTGTTCAGGAAGGTCTCTAGATGCTAACCCAGAGCCCGCCCATGTGGGTCAGCTGCGCAGAGCACCATGTCCTCCCACTGCACCACATCTGGTCCCCCAGGCTCACTTTTTTTGGAGAGGTTTTTGCTACAGGGAGTGTGCGCTCACCAGAAAGAGACAGAGACAGAAAGTGAGAAATCACCCCCCAGGAGGGATGGCCACGCTGCAATCCCTTCTCCTCCATTCTCCTCTTAGGATCTTGGGCACGCACACACATGCGCCCAGTGTGAGTTTAAGCCATGAGCCTCAAGCTGCAGTTGACTGCGTGGGAGTCCAGCAACATAGCCATTATGCCAACTGCTGGTCCTCCCCAGGCTCACCTTTAAAATAACTGTGATTCAGCACTGAGCCAAGAGTCTGGACACACAGCCTGCTGCAGCTGCCCCTGAAAGAGCCTGCTGGGGCTCCTGACCAGGTATCCCAGCCTCTTGCTGACTCAGTTTTCTCACTGTAAATAAAGAGGGTCAGCCTCGGTGCAGGGAGAGAGAGAAGAAAAGGAGAGGGCCCTGGAAGAGAAGGTGAAACTGGAGGAGAAAGAGGAAAACACTGTGGTCATGCCAAGCAAAAGAAGAAATAGAGAACAGGGGGCTGGCAGGAACACTCAAAATGACCTAGGCAGGGAGGGACAGTCCTTTCCAGGTACCAGGGAAGAAGGAAGGAGCAAGGAGCTGATGCAGGGAAGGGTGTGGCCTGGTGGCAACAACACAGCCACTTCTTCCCTGAGGGTGTCATCTCCTCTGGAAAAGGGAGGTAGGCCACCTACCAAGGAGAGCAGGAGAAGAGGAGGGGCAGAGGTTTGGTGGGAAGAGAACAGACTGCCGAACACCAGCAAGGAGCACAGGAGAGAGAAAGGGAGGGAAGCTCGGGAGGGTGAAGAGCCTCCCTGAGAGCCAGCAGAGACTGGAGACTGGGCCTGCACTGGCCACAGGGTGGAATCCACAGTACAAGAGGGAGGCACTGCTGACGAATTGTTTCCTCTTCCCCAGTCCCTGTGTCTGCTCCTGTCCTCACCCTCTACCCTGCTAAAGCCAAGTTTCGAGAGGGAGACATGATGACACTTCGCTGTCAAGTTTGGAAAGGCTCTTTTCCGATCACATATCAGTTTTTTCATGAAGATGTACTTCTAAAGAAGATAACATCCTTATACACTTACTGGATAGAAAATTCTGTCAGTTTCTCACTGAGTGCAGAGAATTCTGGGAACTACTACTGCACAGCTGACAATGGCCTGGGCCCACAACGCAGTAAGACAGTGAGTCTGTCCGTCATCGGTAAGCCCAGGTCACCACTCCTGGCCCAGATCCCTCTCTCTACTACCCCTTCAGAAATGTGCTCCCGCATTCCAGTTTCTTCTCCTTGTTCCTGGGCCAGCTCAACGTCCTTGCACTTTCCAGCTCACTGACCTTGCTATCGGCCTCTGAGAGCCTCTTCCTCCTATGACCTGTGGGGCTAGGCCACCCAGGGTGTCTGTGCAACAGCTGTCTCTCTCTCCTGGCCCCCATGTCTGAGGAGCCAAAAGCCTTTCTCTTGCTCTCCACTTGCCCGGTAGTGACTCAGATGCTTTTCATTCATTGAATAGTTTTCAGTCACTGCACAATTCGTTCCCAGGGCACAGTGGTGTCGCTGTGTCTTTAAAATCAGACAGTGGTCAGTAACAGTGTGCAAAGCCATGTAAGACACAAAGAGAGGAAGCAGGATCAGAATTACTCCAAAGATGTCCCTCCTGCTCAATTGATAGATGTTGTAGGCCACAGCGTGAGGGAGGCACAGGCAAGGAGAGGCTGGAAGCCGGGCAGGAGACGGCGTCACCTCTGCTTGCTCAACATCTATGACGTTGAAATGGTTCCATTGATTCTTGATCTCAGTTTTGCAACAATTCCGATGGCCAAATCTGGAGCCCAGTTTTAGAGGGACAGCATGATTGGGCCCGTACAGGAGTCAGAGAGTCTATCGTTGACTGGGTAATATTTGTGCAGGATTAGAAAGGGGAGGATCACGGAATCCTGGATGAGATATCAAATGGAGAAGATAGAGAAGTTCTTCCGCCATCGGAGACCCACGGGAGGCAGAAACAGCAGCATCACTGTTACATGCTGTCAGAGCTCTGTGAAGTTCTATACAAGGACGCATTTGTTTACCTAACAAATAATATTGTGAATGTTCTGAATGCGGGACTGAACTGAAGGCTAAGGACTCATGAAATTACACCTTCATGGCCTTGTCCCCACAGCTCTTAGGTCTAATAGCAGGTGCAGATGAGAGTTAGGGCAAACACTCACCTGTGGCTACAGGATCAAATGGAAAACACCCCAGGCTGAGTTGGGAGCTGAGAAGAAATTCCTTAGAGAAGTTCATGTGTGAGTTGAGCCCTGAGGATGAATGGGGATGTTTTGAGAGAGAAGTGGAAGAACTGGGCAAAGGAAAGACTGTGTTGCAGTGAGGTTTGTGCTCCATGAGAACCTAGCACCACCACTCTAGGACAGGAGATAGAGACCAGGCAGCAATGCCAGCAATGAGGCAGAGCCACCAAAGCAGACCGAGCCTGGCTCACTTACCCGCCATTCATCTCCCTCCCCCCTGC